AGGACGAGTTGGATGGGGATTACATTTGAGAGGGGCGTCGTGACAGGTATGAGCATGCAGGTGTTTGTGGATGCCGACTATGCAAGCAAGGCGGCAGACCGGAGGTCGGTGTCTGGGGGGCTAGTGATGTGTGGGGGGGGGCTGTGACTTGGTTTTCACGAACGCAGAAGTGCGTTACGCTTTCCACCACGGAAGCAGAGTATGTGGCAACTGCCGACGTCTTGAAGGAAGTGTTGTTCTTGAGGCAGGTGTGGCGTTTTATGTTGCCAGATGCGAGAATGCCGTGCATCCCGGTGTTCGAGGATAATCAGGGAGCGATTCAGATTGCGCACAACCCGATCACGAACTCCAACTCGAAGCACATCGATGTACGGCATCACTGTATCAGGGAGCTGGTAGAGGGGCAAGAGATTTCAATTACTCATGTGCCGACGCGATTTCAGCATGCAGACTTCTTGACGAAGGCTATGAGCAAGGAGTCTTTTGCGTTGCACCGTGACTTTGTAATGAACTTGCAGTGAAGCAAGTATTTTGGGGTCGATTCGTATCCTGTAGCGGAAAGAGAAAGAGGGAGACGAGATTGGACAAGAGAAAGAGAGAGTCTTTTGAAGGTGGTCAGGGTGTTGGAGGTGTATTAAGATTTTTCTTGTTTGTTTTGGAGGAGTTTTAGTTGTGTTGGGGTTTTTCTTGTTTGTTTTGGAGGAGTTTTAGTTGTGTTAGGATTTTTCTTGGTTGTTTTGGAGGAGTTTTGATTGTGTTGGAATCTTGTGATTAACTTGGGAGGCTTCTTGGATGTTTTGAGGAGGATATTGGATTTGGATGCTTTGAAATTTTTCTTGTTTGTTTTGGAGAGATGGTAAACGAGGAATTTGTTTTTTGCCGAAGCATTACGATGCATACGAGCAGGGGGGCTATTAGATGTATTGGGGGTACTCGTAGGAAAGTATGACGGGTAAGATCTTCAGTACGTACGTACGGAAATTGCAGTGATGAGATGCGAAGGAAGCAGAGAGATCCGATTGGTAGCTTGAGCGTGATGAGCGTGACGCGTGCTTGATGCCGTGACGGATTTACGAGCACGAGCACGGCCCCGAAGAATACAATACATTCCCTGTACGTCCCTACCACGGCCCGTCATGGCCCAGCTGCTCTACACGCCCAACACACAGAACTGAGCCACCCGCATTATCGATCATACCCCGCGTACACGACAAAACACGCATGTCGTGGCTGACGGCGACGTTGTACACTATGGTAGGGTAGCCTTCCTTGCCCGTGAACGACGCGCGTTTGGAATAAGGACACACCGTCCACTCAATGTGCGTCCCATCCATCGACCCCGTGGCACCCGACATTCCGACCTCGTCATATGCTTTCATGATCTCCTTGAGCTCGTCTTCATTCGGCATGCTCACCCATACCGGAAAGGACTCGCGCGCGAATCTTTCCGTGAACTGGTGAAACAGGCGGTTCACCGTGACCTCGCCCATGCCCGTGACCTCCGAGACATCGTCAAAATAGTTTCCTCTTCCCAGTATGCGAAGCACCGCCAAAACCTGTTCAGAAACCATAAAAAATAGCGGTTAGGGGAGACGATTCGTGTTGTGCAGAACTAGACGTTGTGATCAGCAGCGTGAACACAGGTCGTCAGTGCAGGATGTGTGACTTTTGCGTATCTAACTTGCANTGATCTCCTTGAGCTCGTCTTCATTCGGCATGCTCACCCATACCGGAAAGGACTCGCGCGCGAATCTTTCCGTGAACTGGTGAAACAGGCGGTTCACCGTGACCTCGCCCATGCCCGTGACCTCCGAGACATCGTCAAAATAGTTTCCTCTTCCCAGTATGCGAAGCACCGCCAAAACCTGTTCAGAAACCATAAAAAATAGCGGTTAGGGGAGACGATTCGTGTTGTGCAGAACTAGACGTTGTGATCAGCAGCGTGAACACAGGTCGTCAGTGCAGGATGTGTGACTTTTGCGTATCTAACTTGCAAAGTAAAAAGAGTTCGTCCAGTTTTGGAGCAACACTGCAAGTGAGCTACGAGCATCAGTCACAGAGAGAACGTCCGAGACTTAAAAGGAGAATACATCTATATACGGTTTGTGTTTCCGAAGAGATGGGGAGAGTCTGCTCTACATAAGCCGTAGGGTAGTTACCACCGCCGTGATGGCGTTCACAATATCCGGGTGGCAACAGCAAAACTTCTCTTGCAATATCATACATTCATGCCGCAGAGGACAGCGATGGAACTACTGTTCCTCGTGATTGTAAGTGTGGGAGAGTGTGTGTGATGAGACGAGCCCCAGTCACAGCCAGCACCTTGCCTCCAGTAAGAAGGTGCGCTCTGTACGTGCCCGGACTGTGCCGAGTACACGTCTTGCGATGTGACGTGCAACAGCAAGATACCATCTACCTACCTGCTTGGGGAACGTTCCTTCGTCTGTTCTGTACGAAGTTAAATTATTGCAGAGCCCTAACCCAATGCTGTCATCATCCATCTCTCTAGACTATAGACTAAATAGATATATGCTGCCTTGCTTAGCACCCCACGCTAGGGTGCACACGCGTGTTTGCTCACCTTTGTTTCGACGGGGATACAGCGCCTGGAGCCTCTCCCGCCAAGCTGAAACTCGTCGGTCGTGAAACCAGCCCAGTTCCCCGCCTTCACTTCGTCTACAAGGGTAAGAAAGGGTAGGGTACGCGGATTCTTCGCCGAAACTGTTTTGCCTCTCTCGTCGACGGGTCCTTAAGGAGGTCACCATTCTCAAGCATCTTTCCCCAAGTCAACCTGCGATTGTCCGCTCTCGGCCGAACCGTGCGTCGGTGCTTGGGTCGCGGTTCATCGTCATCTTCCTCTTCATCTCGGCGCAAAACATTCAGCACGCACCGCAGGAGGAAGGTGGGGTTTGAAAAGAAACAAAAAGAATAAAAAAGCCCTGGTGTTTACCCCCTCCTGTGTGACCCTGGATGGTTGTAGTGGTACGAAAAATACACTGGAAAGTGTAGTACACGGCTCGCCACGAAAAATGGGGGGACTGTCGCCATATTAATAGGACGAAAACACACACCATGAAAAGGTAACTTTACATAGTTTGGTTGGTGGAAATGTAGATAATGCAGGGAGAGACGTCGGGAGAAGTCTGCAGAGAGGCAAAAATTCCCACAGAGACAGAGTGAGAGTACTTCCTATCCTCCAAATCACGGGATTACACCTATCCAGCAACCTCAACGAACCACGCGTGTCCAGAATACAAGGAGGTAAGCTATTGATACCTTTCTGCAAACAGGAGTTCAACATCATGCTCTCGGACTTGTAATGAATGCACCCAAATAGTCTACATGAAAGCGTCAGTGTTTTCTTTCACTGGCGCACGACCAAATGCAAACACAGCTTCAACAACTGAAATGAAGTACGTGCAAATTCGGCAGCCGAGTGCACACAAATATTGATGATTTACGCAGGTACCTGAGTTACTTGTCACCGCACACTCAACTGACGCAAGTCTAGGTTATACTCGCAATGCCATTACGTCTCTGAAACTAGATCATGCATCAGTACCATCTGCAAACATCGAAACAGCTCACCAACTATTTGTGTCTTCTTCACAAGTGGTCCTTATTATTCTGTGAATGACAACAGACAGGGAACCTTAATCGTACATGGCTTAGAGATGTGCTGCAAAAAATTGCAGCAGACGTGCTGACAACATGACGTTCAAGCTATGGTGGTACCAAACGTTACAACATATGGGTGGATGCACGTGTGACGCAAGCACGACAAGGCCAACGCGCGAGCGGTACCTTGTGCCTCACCGAAGGCTCATCTAGACAGTAATAAAATTAGAGTCAACAACCAACGAATTGAATACAAGAGAAAAAAATCGGAAACACACGCACCGTGTCTGTCTTCTCCCCCCTCCTCCCATCTCCTTCCCTCTCCTTACCTACTTGCCCATACCTGTGCGGGCAGCCTCGCCCCCAACCAAACCACTCCTACCTATCCTTTCCTTCTCGACCGACGTCTTGGCGTCATCCAACACAAAAGGTGACGTCAGTTCGCCTATCCCAATGAACGCTGTCCCCCTTCCACGAGGTTCTCTATTAACCCATCTAGCCCTTCGATAAATTGTCGGAACGGGTGACCCACGAGTTGAACTCACCACTGGAAGCCCACCACAAACATGAAGGGTAAACATGTTTTACCTGCAACAATGGCCCGTTGCCCTTGCGAGGACCAAAACTAACCTCCTTGGATTTGGCATTGTTGATTATTGGCCGAGTGATACAGTCGGTGCCTCCTTGGGACCGGCTGAAAAACGAGCCTATACACATCAACAAATTCCCTCAGAGGTTGTGTGCAAAACACGTATGGAAACAAAACCAGGTGACAATGATCACATATAACTTGTAGGTTGAACTTCAAGGCCGCCGAACAGAGTCGAGATAGCCATCGTCACGATTCCCTCTCGCTGCCTCCCATACCTACCTGTCCTTCCTCTTCACATTCTTCAGCCGTGCAACCCGACCACGAAGAAGAGGGTACAGTCTTGTCTGTTGGATGAGCAACATCAACGTCCGCACGATCAAACTCTTCAGACATCAAGTTCTCCACAGTCAGCGTTCTCCAGGCCATTACTCCTACTACAACTAGGGCCAATGCGGACAAGTAGAATACGAAATGGTAGTCGACCCAGCCGCCGAAGGCTTCGAGGGTGGAAGGAGACACAGACCAGGCGTACGTGGTGGCGTAGCCGACTGGGCCACAGAAACGGCCAAGGCTCTCCGCAGTGTTGTAAAGCCCGCCTAGCTTCCCTCGCATTCTGGATGGAACCAGGGTGGTAGACCCGAGCGACAGTGCCAGCGTAATCTGTTCCGATTTCGTGTTGGTTCAAACAAAACGAATCGTGCTGCTCAATTTCGGGTGCCGTGCATAAATCTGTAATCCACTGTTGTGGGTCTGTCAAGGAATCGGAATGGCTGAATCGCTCAAAGTCCTTCGATCCTCGAGTGGTATCGCTTCCGTGAGTCGGATTCGTCGAGGACTCACAGGATCGCGATCAGTCGAAGACAGTCGGAGTTGCGTCAAGGAGGTCAACTGCCATGGATCGCGCTGCTGTTTTCACGGCATAATCCGACAACCGGATGAATCCGTGGATTTCGGGTGTCAAGCATGGCACATACCATAGCAAGGGAGTAGGCTCTACTGCATCGTCAGCTCGAAAGGGTGGCTTCAAGTGGCCGACATCACTGTGAGTACACACGCATTCCGAGTTGTTGCTTTTGCTACGCTGGGTAGGGACCCATATACTCTCCCTGAGTTTCACTCACCGACCCGAGACTGCACAAGATCAAGTTGTTGGCGACCACCGACAGAGAGAATAGAGAATCGTAGTCCCAGCCGATTGACGTGAGCCCTGGGACGGCCAGGAAGGTGGCGACACCCACTCCGCAGCCAAGACGCTGAAAGCTTGTGATGCCGACCATCTTGATGAAGGAGGGGAACAACACGAACTGGCAAACGGCCAACATCAAGCCTGCCATGACCAGTACCTGGGTGTTCGGGGCAAACGTCGTGCGGGTAGATTGTCAACCTTGCAAAGCTTAGGCCGGGGCACGAGAGCTACGTATTTGGGTTTCAAAACCTGCCAGTTCGTTGAAATGCGTGGTGCAAACCTGCGAACGAGTATTTGTAATTGTCGCTTCTCGAAGCAACAACACAATCAGTTAGTAGAAGCAACAATCCATTCATGTCATAGCGTAACGCAAACCGTTGCAATCAAGTTGTAACCTAGCACCGAAAAAAATTGAACGCCCTGTCTATATTGCGCCGTCTACTGCAGGGCAGGGAGCTTGCGCTTGGGCTCATTGGAATCTTCGTTCTTGGAACAAAACAAGCGGCTAACGCAAATCCACCCGCGTGCCTGTGATGACTTACGATAGCCGATGCACAAGCACGACACACGAGAATCGGATTTGGATCGAAAAAATGCCATTCGTTTCAAGCTCTACCGACCCGCTAGGTGGGCCTTTGCATGCACCGCGACCACTGTCGCGGGCGGGCACCTGCCGTCTGTCCACTTCATTGCCGTCTCCGTCTCGTCACTACTAGGTTCGATCGTGCCTGGACTCAAAGAAGCGTATGAGCCGAAAAACTCACTTCAGGAACGTCTTTCACACAACAAGCAACCAGCGTCCAAGCCGGCGCGTGTCCACACCCACATCACCAACACTCGCGGTGACAGTTCGCTAAGGTCACGCGGTGCTTTCTGAGCCGGCCACACACGCAACAGTCCCCCAGACCTGTCATCACCTGTCCAATCTGGACTGTGTTCCAGCCAAGTCCTCCGACGCTGGGAGTACTTAGCGCGTACAGAGGGTACACCTCGTCGAATCCGATCGCCAGGGTCTGATGTAGACAGCATTCGACGTGTTGATTTGGGTACGATTAGATCGGATGCATATAAGGCGCGGGGAACAGGAGGAGGGCACGACAGGACATTCAGCATCTTAGAGACAAAGGCGCACCTTCATTTGGAGAGCTGGTACTTCCCGATATTTAGGTATCTCGTTTCATGGTCGCGTTTTCTTTCTTCGCCATATTTTGGCTGCTCGAGATCAGCCAAGCGAAGATGTCAATATCTTGTGTGTGCGCGGTCACAACGTCAAAAATCGTAGGTTGATTCCTAAGTTGCTGTTTCGGGATGTGTTGCTGGGTTCGCCATGAGTAGCTCGCAGCCTGAAAGGTCAAGTGAACTACCTACCAAAAAGTTAAACATGTACTTCTAGCATGTACATCAGTATTGTGTCCTTGGAAGAAAAACCATCATTTTTGTGAAAAAGGCGATACAGCAGGAAGTCTCCAAACAACGTGACTGTAGTTTCACTTGGTCAATCCCAGCCATGTTCTCTGAAACAGAAAATCCTCGCAACCTCACATAATTCGCCATGCAGGACGCCCTAGAAGATGTAGTAGAGGGACTGTCCTCACAACCGTTATGTCGTGGCCATGAGACCATTGACCTCTCATCCCTACAAAGTCGGCGGGGTTTCACCTGGCCAGGCTAGCACGTCACCAAGCGCCAAGCGCCGTGGGTATTCGGCAAGTTGCATGGAGGGTGTGCTGCATTGTTCGGCATTTCATGCTTACTTCCTTGCATACGGATGGAAGCTGCGTATGACTTAATATATTTTCTTGTGCTTTTCACTTCCAGAGACAGCTAAAAGCACTGTGGAACTGCCTCGAGGGTGCTTGGCCAATTGAACAGAATGTGGTGCGATCATCTCCATTGCGTAGGTGAGGGTTCTCGACCCCACACAACATAATCTACTAAAACACTACTATGGTTACCGCAAAAACAAAAAACGGAGGCGCAAAACCGGTAAAAATGAATACAACGATGTTGCGACGAAAACCCACGATGGGCGGAGGGGGTGGGGGGCGGGGGGCTGGCTTCATTATCCTTTTGTCCCGATATCTGGCACGTGTTGTTTTCAGAAAACACGCAGCGAGCGCGCGTCCAAGCGAAGGAACCGCAGGAAGGACCTTTTTCCGGGCGATGACTGCGATATCGTCTCGAAATGCTAGCTTTCCCAGCAGGCGAACTGAAGGAGGCGAGAGGTACAGCGTTTAGTCTTGCGGCTACCTATAAGCTTTACACGTTGACGAAGAAGCCAAGCCTACTATTATTGTCTCGAACACCACACTCACCGCGCTTATGCACCCGAGGAACAGGACAAGCTTAACGTGCCGTCTAGCCAGAAGGCCTCCCGGTCCGAAGAGGCTCTGCTCGTCTACTTGCTCGGAGGCCGACAGCTCGTCGGTAGCGCAGCCGCTGCTCTTGCTGCCGTCCGTTGTCTTCTCGGCTGCGGAGGCAGGGAAGGAGGCGTCACCAGCGAGGGGTTCCTGGCTGAGACGCTGGTACAACGGCACCCCTTCTCCTTTCTCCCGCCGGTAGATATCAGCACCATGTGGCAGCTTCTTCTGCCTCCCCTGATGTTGCTGCTGCTGCTGTTGCAAGTGTGAGCTCGGCGACTCAGTGGGATTCGTTGAATTGATGGGGCTTACGGAGGAGCCGCGGATTTTACTGCTGCTTCGTCCCGGGCTTGCTGAGGGAGACCGCCGGGTGTCGGTGATGGCAGTGCGCACCGAGTCTCTGCTGGACCTGGATTCACGATACAGAATCACACGGTTTGCAGGCAAAACAAACACACATTAACACTCGAGTACGATACGACTATACATTGACGCATGACCTGGGACTTCCGCTTTTCAGCGAACGACTCCGACTAAACTTCCGCGACGCCTTACGTGGATTCTACCGCAAATATTTTCCATGGGAAGCTCATGGTAGATCTTTCACCGCAGTCCGCGAACGTCACCTGAAACCGGGTCATGCCAGTTTTCGATTGGAACGGGTGCAAGGCTTCCAAAACCTTAACTTTCCACGGCAATCGGAGAACTTCCGACACAGCGTTGCAAACACCACGCTGCAGGAAATGGTACGCCCTACCGCCCCAACTCCGACACCTTCACACACAAGCGACAGGTTGCTTCTCCGCCGCAGAAGGATTTGGGTAAGGCTGGAGCGCACGTCAGTATACTGGGTTGGCATACATCCGGTCGTCGAGGTAGTCAAACAATGGTTTAGAATGGGTCGGGGTTCCGGGGCGGCGGAACTGCGTCAGCCACGAGGCACGAGAGGAGTTTAAGAAAGCTCCATAATAGCGTTTCGAATATGAAGGCCGTTCATCACGCCAAGTTGATAAGCCATGACTCCCGGGCTGGAACGAATACATCAACCACGTTCGTGGGCTATTTCGCTAGTTCCAAGGCGGGTCCCATCAAAGGGCCCTTGGAACCTCGTGGAAAAAAACACCACATGGGAAACTTGAGAGCCGGGACGCTAACCACAGGATAATGTTGTAGTGCCAATCTGTACGCTGCTAACCCGGGTCACTCAACATCTCGAGCTTCGTTCAGCCATTGAATGAAAAGTATTTCCGGCTCATCGAATCGAACCAACGGTCTCTACTTCACAAGAGGCTTCGGAAAGAAAATTGAGTACACACAGTCGCAGACAAGAAAACGTTGTAGGTAAACGTGTGCGCGAACTGGACACCTACAGGGGTGCGCCTCCGTAAACTATGCGCGTCCTGTTATCAGATAGTCACTTCATTTCAGCACCTGGTGCATCCATCTGGGTGAAAAAGGCCAATGCCATCTGCCGCTTGCCGGTACCGCAGGAATCTTTCCTAACGGGACGGATGACAGAAATGCCGTCATGGGGTTGTTGCAAGCCAGCTACCGTATCAACGGTGGCCTTACCTCGCACAGCGTACCTCTTACCGGAATCTTGCCGCGGGACGCCCCCAACGGACCCGGGTTGTTGTGCGGAATATCGCATCTTCTTTCTGTCCCCCTTAACCTTCGCACATGATCAATAGTACGACTCTCCGTCAGTTAATCTCGATCAGTCTATCTTATCACTCTGTCCTTTCTGTCTCCCTCAGCTCACGCATCATATCAAAAGTTATATCCCTCAGTTCATCTCTTTCAGACTATTTATCGCTCACCTCTGCTCTCTCTCTGTCTCTCTCTCTCTGTCTCTCTCTCTGTCTCTCTCTCTCTCTCTCTCTCTCTCTCTGTCTCTCGCTCTGTCTCTCTCTGTCTATCTGTCTGTGCGTATTTATCGCTGTNCTCTCTCTCTCTCTCTCTCTCTCTCTCTCTCTCTCTCTCTCTCTCTCCACTTGATGCGAACGGGCTTGTTTGAACCGGCTTCACCTGCGCTTGTTGTAGTCCTTGGTCTCCGGGAGGTAAAAAATCACGAGGACGAGGGCGAAGACCGACAGCACAGCCCCCACCAAATTCGGGAGCAGGAACGGGTACCTTTCGTGACAGTGCGGGATTCTCGAGGTTTGCACTTCGACTCAGTTTCGCCGGAGGCCACATCGATCGCCAATCGGGAGCGTAACCGTCGTCACTTAGAGCTTCGACAACGCACACGTGCAAAGCCAATGTTTCGTCTCACTGGTTTGTAAACAGCGGCAGGAAGCGGCAGCCACCGGTCCTACCATATAGTTGCCGGGAAGGAAAAGGAACACGCTCAGCGCGTCATCCTCGACATAACAAATGCAACTAGAACACAGAGCCTCGCGTCCGATCGAACGTTGTAAGGCGAAAACCGGACCGTTTCTATCGCTCGGATCTGCGCTAGTTAGATAGGCTTCGCAAGAAATTGGGTCAACTTTCGGGGCACGGCATGCATCGGTTTGGGGAGGCGGACCACAACAACTTGAAGCAAAGGGTGCTGAACAGAACAGAGTCCAAAAGGGGGNNAAAAAAAAAAACGAAGGTAAAAAAAAAAACGGTAACCTGGTTGCCGAGTTCACGAAGTGAAGTGGCTTGTTTTACAACGTCGTTGCCCTTCAGAGGGGGGGGGGAAAGACCATCCAACTCTAGTGAGCTGGTAAGTTGGACGGGTGTACGGGACGGGTGGATCTCCCTCTGCCTGCTGACTACGCTCACCTGGCGAAAAGGCCTGTGGGCGAAAAAAGGGTCGGGTAGTGGAGCGCTGGTTGTACCAGTAGACCGCCGATCCCCGTGCCGATCACCATGCTGATCGCCCTAGTACCTGTAGCAGCGGGTAGTAATTAGTACGCGAGGAACATCGTCAGACCGGAAGGGAAGGTATGCGTATATCAACTGAGTCCCGGCAACACCAGCTTCGTTTCGATCGACCGAAGCGGGAACATATACATATCAACACGAATGCAGACGACGGGTTTCAAAGCAGGAACCTCCCCACGCATGACAACGAGAGTACTCCCGAAGAAGTACATGAATCACAGGAACACAATCGTGAACAACCAGAGTCGTAGCATCAGGACGTGGAGATAGTTTGCGTCTGGGAAAACAACATGAAAAGATCTTGACTGACCAACATGCATACACGTACGAGCACACTACATTGAACCATATACTCACCGCTCATGTACGTCATCCCTAGATGGGCGCGTCGGGACCGATAGGCAGAAAACGGCAGTCAAAAACAAGGGACGTCGTTAGACAGCGGCGCTGAATTGGGGCCACGTATAAGCGTACGTGCGAACAACTCGCCAAGACAATAGGCTCCATATCAAGCCATCGTTATAATCGAAGATTAAGGACAACGCACACACCAGGTGTCCTCCAGGATGGAGAAACAAGAGGGGAGCGTTGGGGTGTGCAGGAAAAAAACGAAAAAAAAACTATCACAGACTATGCTCGAATCACAAGCTACACAACGGCAACTAACCCCGACACGTGAGAATTCAATGTTTGCGTTGGGAAATGGCTTTCGTTCTGCACGACGCTTCTCGCAAGGCGCGAAAGCAGGAGATCCTTTGTAATAGTAGCACGCTGCTTGCCTAGAACGACGTGCTCGGGCCCGCAGACCTCGCTCAACGATGTCCGAAGAGCCGGCATGATGCCGTTAGTCAGTCCGAGGATAAACCTGCATGCAGGATCAGCATGAACCACCGGCAACTCGGACAAAAAAATAGCAACACATACGACCTCTAACAGAACGGCGGTGCCGGGAAAGGTATGAATACAGGAAGCGCTGTGGGGGGGGGGGGGGGGCTCGGGTTCCCCACCCTTACTTGCGACAAAAAACGTGCCATTACTTGCCCTAACGGTTCATGTGTTCCGCAAGCATGTCAGGGGCCACTCTAACGGGAACGAGCTTCTCAGGGAGGGCAGGAACGGCCGGACAGGTTTTCAGCGTGCCACGTTTCCCATGTTGTCTACACGATTCCGCATGCATTTTCGCATGCACAAGCCGCAGTTGGCAGTAGCGAAAGGAACACCAGCAGCAACAGGCGCGTCGATGTTCCACAACTACAGCAATAACCCAAGACAAACCCGACAACTATTCCAGATGAAACAAGGCGAACCTCGTTATGATGGCCATAGCGTAGGTCTCGGACATCCCGAAGATTATAGAGAATATCGTGATCGACAGCAGGCCAATGATGATCACCGGTTTCCTTCCGATGATGTCCGTCGCGGACCCCCAGGCGTAGCCGCTCAAGAACCGGCCGAACGTGAACGAGCTGGCGACGTAGCCGGCGTAAAAACCTGGGTTGGTGTTTTCGTTTAAACCCCCCATGGCGAAAGAGTGGGCAGCACACCAGCGCCGCACGGGGGGACGCACGACGGGTGTGTGTTGTGTGTTTTCGTCCTTTTTATTATGGCGACAGTCCCCCCATTTTTCGTGGTGAGACGTGTACTACACTTTTCAGTGTATTTCTTCGCACAACTACAACCTTCCAGGGTCACACAGGAGGGGGTGAACACCGGGTCTTATTTCTTCTTTTAATGTATTTTCACGCCCCAACTTCCTCCTGCGGTGCGTGCTGAATTTTATTCTTGTCGCGAGAAGGGTCCAGCCGTCCCTTTCCCTCGTCAACAGTGCTAACGTCGAAGTTGGTACTCACGAGAGCTTTTCAGCTATATTTCGCTTTCACCCGCAAAGGTTTGTTATTTTGTCACCCCATGGACCCCCCCCTCGGTGTTTGCCATCGGGATTGGGTTTTCGTCGCTTGGCAACGACGTTGTAAAACAAGCCAATTCACTTCGTGAACTCGGCAACCAGGTTCCCGGTTTTTTTTTTTT